CTGTTAACCCTACAACTACTCACCCTGTACTACACAGCACATCTGTGTATTTTAAAAATAACAGACAAGTTACAAAAATCAATTTCACTGAAGTTATGTATCAGTATGCCCTCTCTATCTTAACTATAAAGAAATTTGGAATCAATTTTCTGAAACATGAACGCTTTAGTTGGCCAGCTCAGCTTCTTGTCAGACTTGCAATTAATTTCCAGTAACTTAAATGATTCCAAAGATGATAAAAATATCACTTGAGAAATTTAAAGTATGGTAATAATTTACTTTTTTTCCATAAAAAAAGAAAAAAGGTGGTTTACTTTGTGTATTTGAAAGCATAGTTTTGGCAACATAACCAACTGCTGAACAGCGGCTTACCACAGTATCAATATGAAAAGTAACAAAACAAGCCAGCCTCAGTGATGCGAGGATCTGACACCTTTTGCATCGTTATGCACGCCTCTTTGGAAGTAAGAATTTCTTTGGTAGTCATAAGCATCTTCCCACAAAGGAAGAAACATCTCTCAAATTTCTTACTGAGCTACATGCAATATTACTAATTTACATCAATTACACATGAATTCTCAATATGGCTAGACGTTTGAAATACAGCTGTGAACACAGTGTTTCATTTTAAACACTTCACCTGAGCTCAAAAAGTTTTAAGGCTTACTTATTGAAAAACATTTGATTTTACGAAACAGACTTGTATTTCAAGAAATGTAACAAAAAAATATAATACAGGGCTAGAAACTGTATTTCAGATACTGATTAGTTTTTTGTTTGGATAACAATACCCAACATTTTAAAATGCTAGTCCCATAGGTATGAAAGTCAACAAATGAATCCTGTGATTTACAAATAAACTGATGGTCAGAGTTGCTTCCTATTTCGAGCCCTGCATAACAGATTATGATGACAGCATGACTTTTATGTTGTGAATGTTAAGTATAAACAGGGGTAGAAATTAACCTTTCTCCCTCTGTTATCTAATAGGATACTCAAGACAGTTTCAGGGTTTTTCATTGTGGTTTTTTTGTGTGTGTTTTTTTTTTTTATTTACACACCAGATTTAAACTCTTCTTGTGAAACTGGCATGTTTCCAGCTAAGAAAGGGTTCTTAAGTCTTCTATATTTAAGCGTGAATAGAAGTCTTCTATATTTAAGTGTGAATTATTAAACCAATGCCTTATACAATTTAAGTTTCTGAATAACAGAAGTATAATCCATGCTTAAAGCAAGAATTTTTAATTAATCCAACATCTGTTTGTAAGAAGTTATATCTAATCCAACTATTTATCAGGTAACTTGATTGACTGTTATTAATTTCAACCCCTGAGAACCGGTGAACAGGAAAGCAGTCAGGAGCAGCAAAGTAAAAGAGTAAGTAATTTTAGGAAAACATTGAAAGAGAGATAGAATTAAGAGTGTGAAAGATGTGAGATTTATGATTTTGAGGTGCAATGTTTTCCACTTACTCTTCACCCCTTTTTTCCCCTTGCGCTCCTTTTTGTATTGTTCCTTGAGTTTGGTTATTACTCCCTGGTCGACATTCCAAGCTTCAGGCATGAGACACTGGTCTTCCTTTTCTAAACAAAGTGAAACAAATGAAACATCCTTTTTCAATAATGTCACCGAATGACCTCCACTGAAGGAGGTAACAGCTGCTGTCAATGGCATTTGTCTTTTATTTTACACAGACAGAAATGGCACCAAGCTTGTGAAAGCTGTAAAACTGCTACTCACACTCCACTTCTGTTTGCTTAGAATTTTCTTAACGAAAAATTGAGATGAAATTTTACATGCCTAATTTCTATAACCAGGCACATAGCTGTTCATAAATGTAAGGAACATTTACTTTATAATAAATTAGGACATAGTTTTCAGCTTTTTCTTTTCTCCAGGGAAACAATTACTATATCTAGAAGTAGCAGCTGTGTTACTGGTTAACATAACTTTACAACTCAGATGTTGTGTCACTGCATTTCAAATTCTCATTTAATTGTCTTTGTGCTATGTTGTCATTTACACAAAGCAGCAGCATATTTAAATTATTTTGGAACATAGTATACATGTCACCAAAGTTTGAACAAAATCTTAAAGCACTAAAGCCATGACATTTCAGAAACAGGGGAAGGCCCGAGTCATCAGTCTTTGAAAAAATACACAAAATATTTCAACATGCCTAATCAAAACAAAAAAAATCCCCAATTTTTTTTTTTTTTAACACCTCTCAAATTGCTTCCCCTGTGACACCATACAGCGAAGTAGTATTCTTCCAATAGTATGGTATTTGGAGATTTTGAACAAAACATGTTATGTGAGTTCAAACCTCCAAGTCATTTTTGTCATATACGGAAAGACTGTACTGAGGCAGCTTAAAAAAATAATTTGCCAGGAGGGAGGTAATACAGCTTTTCCTCCCATATATTTCTTTTCATGAACATCGCAGCTACAAAATTTTTTTAAATCCATTATCTTTTTGCTTTGTTTTCCTCACTAAAATTTCAAACTTATTATTTAAAAAAATTAATTCCTTTCAGATCAAGTTTGCTTTTATACATTGGTAAACTATCCTAGACCTTTTAAATTATGAACAATAATAAACTTATGCTCAGACTAACATGCAGAAAGAGTATAAAATGTCTGTAGAGGAAGCACAACACTATCAATCACAATCTGAAGAGGTCACTACGAAAATACAAAACCAGATATGGGTTATTATAGGGACTGACTTGTAAGAAATTAAACTATGCTGAAAAACACCTAGGGATCCTCCATCAACATCAAACTGAACAGGAGTCAGCAGCACACTCTTGCAGCAAAGGCAATCAACCATATCCTGGGCTGTATTAACAGGAACATAGCCAGTAGGTGACAGAAAGTGATTATCCCCCTCTGTTTGACACTTGAGAGACCACCTCTTGAGTACTGCAACCAGTATAATATTTCTTACACTGGGAAAACTTCTAAGTATAATGCTAAGTACCTAGTACTGATGCAGTATAGCAAGTCCATGGGAGCCACTAAGATGGTTATGGTAGCTAGAGCAGATGAGCTGTAAGGAGGGGCTGAGACTACTGTGAGTGTTCAGCGATGGCAAAAGAGGCATCTTGGTGCTGCCTACAACTACCTAATGGACAGGTGTAGAGAAGACAGCAACAGACTCTGCTCAGACTTGCATCAGAAGAGGACAAAGAGTCAAATTCCAGAATACTGCCCCTGAGAGTTTATATTGGAAGATACTCAAAATTTGACCAGAAGAAGGCCAGAGTAACCTGCTGCAAATAGACCTGAGCAGGAGGCTGGACTAGATGATCTCTCACTCATTTGAACCCTCCAGTCACAATCCTATACTCATGAGTGACAGATTAATTCAAGACCCAAAGTCTTGAGGCATTTGTCTATTCGCAGCATCTATGAAAATAGAGAGGTATTAATAATCAGAAGAGACACTCTAAAAAAAGATGGTCTGTGGGCTAAATCATGTCCTTTTAATAAATATGCAAAATTAAGTACCACTAATGATCAAAAACTGTGTGAAGAACTCAAAGAAGGTATGAGAAAAATCATCCTCGAGAGAAACTAGTATGTATCTTTTTCCGGGACCAGGTCATAAATTTTAATCATGCTTTTTGTCCCTGGCTGGACAAGGTTTTTTTTGCTCTCCTCCAATAAAAAGTTTAAATGAATTTATATTAGATTGCATTGTTGCCAGGAAAATGCTTAATACATTAATTTTCTACAGGCTGTCCCAGGATGCTTCCTGCATGTCCCACAGGTTCTGTACTACTTCACAAGTGGATCCTGAACAGTTACTAGTGTGCAAGTGCTTTACAGTTTAAAAATTACCTGAACACTTCTGAAGACCTTTCAAGCCAAATGGGTTCAACAAATTACTGTAACTGATCAGCAATACTTGGGATCCAAAATGAAGAAAGGACTTCCTCTGTTTGCTTCTATCTTTGCTATACAACATCACTCTGCTATGCTACATTTAACAGTTTCACTTAAGTCACATTAACATAAGTGATTCATAATGGCAATTCCCTGAAGAAGCTTATTCTTATACAGTTAACATAAAAGACAGAGGTTGTGAAACAAGTAATCGAAAACCATGAATCTCTATTAACTCAAAACCACACCTTAATATATCTAAAAATGAAACTACTACTTTCCATGACAATTTATTTTTAATGTCAGACTTTCACTCATTTGTACTCAGCTATCACCAACAAAAGTAAAAGCAAAGCAGAAGTGTGAATTTGAGAACAAAAAACTCTTCAGTGACACAAGCAATAGCTACACTTAGCAAGCACAAATGGATAAAATTTTAACGTTAAAGAGAAGCATTAGAACAACCTAATATTTTTCGTAAAAAAGGAAAACATTCCTAAATTTGTTTGGTGAACAGACTAATTGCTGTATCTATCAATTGAGACTCATCCTCTCAAGCAGAACAATAATTTGGAGTGCAACCAGGAGTTGGACATGGCTTCAGTGAAATACAGCATCTCGGAGCTGCTAGCTCATGTGAGACACATAGCTACCATGGCTTATTTGTCTATCCAGGTTTCAGTTCTATTATAAAGCTCAATTATATTCCATTCATCTTTCATAGCTTGCTCTGTATCCACTTATGCTTAAGACTTTCCAGAGCAGCTTAAGGAGAAAACAACTACCCATTAAAATATTTAACCAGTTCTATTTCTTCTTCCCTTCCCTATGCAGTGGGTTTACGCAGAATAATTATGTCAAGGTAAAGTGGATGCTGGCATTCTGGGTTGCAGGACACAAACCTCAAAGGACAGAGAATAGTTTGTGCAATGTCTCTCTCTGACTAGGGGGTTTAAAGATATATTCTTCTGATAAAATATAAAAGAAAATTTGAGCTACTCAATAGTTCATATTGCCCAAATTGCTAACACCCAATAAGAGTATAACTAATTAAGTCTTTATGACTCACATTACTCTCTGTATCAAAGTGGGAGAAAGCAAAGACAACAAAGTAACTTTCACGTCATAATTGCAAAATACAGCTTTATCATAGCCCTTTATTAGCATGGGTCACTGGAAAAACACATTGAAATTCTACTCATAACAATAAAATTCTATCTACCTTATTATTAAAGAAAAGGAAAAAGACAATGACCAGAAGCATAAACCTTGAAGAATCCTTACATTAATGCAGTATACAGAAAAATGAAAATATCATGTGAAAAGGACTTCAGCCTGTCAATTATTTACCATAGGAATACTCAAAAGGTGCTGTGATCATGAGAGAGATCTCAATCAATCAATCATTCACAATACTAGCACAATTTTTTTTTGTCCTGGTACAATTCATTACATTGCCTTACCCCAGTCTGTTCCATCTCCTGAACTTCTTGATTCCCCATCACCTTCATCTGAGGTAACCAAAAAGTCAAACTCTTTCAAAGCTTCTTCTGTATCTCTGTCTTCACTGCTGTCAGATAGCACTCTTTTCCTTACAATCTGAAAGGTTAGGAAGGAGAGAAAACACGTTGAATTAACTTATACACATCTTTATACTGAGTAGTACTGTCTTGTCTTCTATGCAAAATCCTAACAGGAAGTTGAAGAAGCAGAAAGATATACATTAATAAGCAAATCTGGAATAATCATACAGACTTTATTTGAATTTCTCAGTCGAAATGAAATTTGTCTGTAGATCTTTCTTCCTGTGACCACAAATAATCAATCATTTGATAATGACCTAGACCAGTACTATTTTTTCTTAACACCAGAAAAGAATAAACTTTCTCTTAATAGAGATTAAAAAGAAACAACGGACAAAACTCAGAAACAAAAAACCTGGAATGCTGTAGAAAGGTCTTTAGCAAAACCAAACTCACTCTGCTGCTCTGAAAACAGCGTTTTTAACTCTCACCTCTGAAATCACTCTACATGTGGACCAAAAGACAAGTCTAGAAAAAAAAAAAAAACACAACTCACAAGAGCTAGTTTGCTTATATTTGGCAAAAATCATTCCATCCTGAATACTTCCTCAGATATTAAACAGAGTAATTCTATGTTTAAACTGCATTTCCCTTTTCAAATTAAAAAGTTAATTTGGGGGAAAAAAAATAAACCAAATTTTGGTAAAAGAAAAAAATACATGTTTTAATGAAGGACCTCACTGTACACTTTCTGCAATAAATTTACTTTTCCCTCAATAATCAAAATGGACTAGATGCTTTACAGTTATTTGACTAACAAGTGAGCTGATGCCATGATACATGAAATATGCAGCACAAATTTTACTTCTACAGAAAAACAAAAATTACATTCATCACAATACCTCAACTTGGAACCTTGCTGAGGGTCAGTCTGAAAAGACTTCAATACCTAGACCAACTTCCCATAGTTTATGAGGATGAATGACTGTTACCTCTAAACACAATGAGCCAATTTCAAAACCTGAAGCAATTCTAAACTTCAAGCTTCAATCCTTCAGCAGGCTTATTGAACACACTGTATTACAGGTGATTTGACAGAAGAGTCTCAGACATGAGTTCACAGCCCATGGATGACAGGAACAAGTTTACAAAGGTTCTTTTTAAAACTGCTGGGTTTTTAAGTGTTCATTCTTAAAATTGATCATAGAAACAATCACATCCATCATAGCTCTTATCTGTTTCGATTTTTAGGAAACACAACTCATTGAATAAATATTAATTTTGAAAAGAGGAGGATAACATTGAGTACTGACTGTATGTATCTAATGTGATCATATGACCAAATCATACAGTAAAGTATAGATCATGAGAAACTTTCAGGTATTCGAGTGAACAAAAAATAAGGTTATTAACCACGTTAGATTTTTTTCCAGTTATACTTTTTCTTCCTTCCACATTTAAAGAGGTGTTTATTTAAAGAGAAATGTGGTATTTCAGTTCAGTATCCTACAAGGAAAAATTTTTACAAGTCATTTTAAATATCAATACATTTATATAAATATTTAAGAAACAATAGCAATAAAGATGGCAAAGCTTAACTTGTATGCACAAACTCAGAAATGCATATATAATTTCTCTTATGCACACATGCTTGGACAGACCATCATAAAGATGCATTAAGGATTTGCACGTGTACATACATAGTCATATACTTTGCATACAGCATCTCATTAATCTCACATTTTCTGTTCTTCGTAAGTTTTTCAATTATTTTTTCCACTCACTGTTGCGGTATCAATGATTGTTTTCTCTCTTCCTTCAATATCTTCTTCATCTTCTTCATCACTAAAGTCTGCAGCTGCGTTTTCAAGAAACTTGAAAGCCTCTAGCAGAGAGGCAGAGTCAGTCAATTCAGGTTTCCTAAACAACAACAGCAACCACCATCATGAGTCAAAAGAAATCATAAAGAAGTCACTTTTCCAATTACCAGTCTGTTCTGTATTATGATGTCCAACAACAGGAGACTAAAATAAGCCTACAGGTAAAAATGGACTATTACAGGTTAAAATGTTTGAGGATTAAAAAACTAAACACTATCCATAAACTATCTTATTAGAAGCAACAATTTTTTCTTCATCCAGCTGCAATCACCAGGACAGACACTTCATTTTTTATTTGAAAAGCATTTTAAAGCAACATTCATCTGATGTGTGCCCAAAAGCAACATCAATACTGATATACCACCACTGAAAACCTCAGCAACAAGGACATGAGTTACAGCTACTAAGTCAGCCTCCCACATGTACATCAGGGTACAGGAGAACTTTGCTGCTGCTATCTGATGCTGCTCACCTTGCTGGGAAACATCCCACCCTAGATCTATCATTCATTAACTTTTGAGACATGGTAAATTTGCCACTGTAAAACAATATAATGAGAAAATGTCATTGATGACTAAACATTGTTTACATAGATGTTAATATTAAACAAATAAGGAAACAGATGAAGATTCAGTAAGATTACGACTACACTGGCACAACTTCAGGCAGTGCCTCAGAACAGGAAGCATAAAGGCTGTCATATTAACAACTGAAGAGGAAGAATCCAAGAAGCAGGACTGTAACTGTTATTAAAACTCTCATAAAAGTCAAATTAAAGCAATCCTTAAATTAACAACAGGTACGATGTTTTCTACACAGAAGACGCACCTCTCCATCAATCCCTCAAAGACGAAGTGGTGAAAAAAAATATTATTCCATTTGAATTGTAATGATTCCTTCCAGTAAAGCCTTGTACGTTCTTTATACGACTTTACAGCAATAGAGACAAGCTTTGTTTTCTTACCTTTAATCAGTAGTCTGGTTTTCACAGTTCATCATTAAATGCACGTCATCTTGATTTTGACGACCACTGAAACAATAGAAGGCGCTCTCTCTCTTTTCAGAATTGTAGTTCTAAATGGTCTTGTACAGTCACCATTACTACCAGCAAATGCCTTGCTGACGCTACATTTTGCTTCTGCTATGACCCATTTCAAAAGGTTCAATCAACTACAAGCCTATATAGTAAGGCCTTTTAAAGTCCCTGTAGTGTAGATACCTGATTATCCATCCATCACCCACTTACTCCAGTGTTTCTTCATAACACTTCTCAAATGTTTATTACAGGAAACATCCAAGGGCAAAAGCTCTGGTGTTTAATAAGGCGTGATAAGCAGCACACTTCCTTCTTTACACAGTTGCTGCTCAAGCAGTTCTATGCTTACATGCCAACAATTAGCAGAAGTGGCTTCTTCATATCCCACAATATTTCTGCATCTCATCAAGACAATTTGCTACTCTAGTCTTTTTTCATTTACTCATCTTTACGGCCCAAAAATACCAGTAAAGATTTCACCTGCCATTAGAAATTCTATATACACAGCACCATAATATACCATGATGTACAGTATGTTTTCACGGTCACCAGTTCTACTGAGAATATTCCTTTCACTTTCCCGTATCTTAGATAAGAACAACCTCATACATGCTTCCAATCTGCCTTGCTTCCTGCAGTATTTTGACTCTCTTGTTTCCGTGACAAACCTGTAATAGTTTTCTTTTTACTTAAGTAATCACTACTTTGGCAGACTCATGAATCTGCAGCAATAATGTATGTTTTCACAGAAATCCTATGGTACTGTTATTTTGCTGTTCCCAACACACAAATCTAACACAAAACTTGTAATGTGCTTCATGTGGCTAACTTCTTGATTTCCAGCACATTTTGTGCCCTGGTCAACTTTTAGTGGACTAAATCATACGACCATAACTGTATTTGTTTTTTCCTCTGTATTTTGCTGTGTAAAAATCTGCCACGTAAAAACATCATGGCTGCTGATCTATATTAGCAACTATCAGACATGCTACTGTAAATAGCAATGTATGAACTAATACCAAAAATAGACTATAAAATTTTAATCAACAGAACTTGTTATTAAGAGACAGATATCCTTCTACAGGTACAGGTATTCACAGTAATTCATACCTAGATTTCGTTCTGTACACATTTGATCTTAAATCAGGCGCTCTCACACTGAAGTTTAAAGTGACAAGCAAAAGAGAAGGTTGTATCTTTTTAAAGTAACTGATCTAAATCCAACTATCATATTAATTGTTACATACTTCAGTGGGCAGGATATATACATAATTGTGTATCTCCATGTACATAGGGTGATAAAAGGCATCTCATACACTGGAAAACACAGTAGTTTATCATGTATTTCAAAACTTCTGCACAGGACAAAAATGTACAAGGCCAGCATAGTACCACAGAAGATTATCTGTGCACAACTTCCAAGAAAGAATTCATAAGTACCAAAAAAAGAAAGCAGAAGTGACAGAATATTCAAACTATTTAGAGGCTGTACAGAGAAAAGAAGCTTCAAGCAGGCAAACAGCAGCACATAAACATAATGCATTTTAGATATTACTGTCAGTATGAACACTTAGGAATACTGTAAAACATACTTATGAAAATGTCTAGCCTTAGCTAATTTTTGTTATATACTTTGATGGCAATTTGAAGCTTGCTTGTCTCATTGTTTTCCATCTGTTTAGTTTGTTTCTCTTACAGGGTCATTTACAAAGCAACATAAAAAAGCAGAAGCAGCAAAAACATATTCAGAGATAGAGTAGTATAATAAACTACATTTTAGGAAAAAGAAACACAAGTCAGCATTCTAGAATACTAGTCTAGAATACTTCTTTAAAAATTAATGGGTGAAAACTATAGAATGGTGCTGCAGAGGCAGGGACTGATACATGAACTGTAGTATTACAGGCATGAGTGAGGCAAGACTACGGCAAGGTTCAGGACCTGTTGCAAATAAAGGGAGACAAAAAAAACCAAAAAGTCTCACAAAGGAAAATTTCTCTTTACTGGACTGTCCTGGATCAAAACATATGTAAGGTAGAACACAATTTTCAAAGTCCAAGAACTTAGGTGTTGTATTGTCCTTCTTCCCCAGCCATACAGAAAAACTGCTGGGGAAGAACAAGCCACAAAGCCCAGACAGTAGGAGCAGCTACAGAAGCTGCCAACGCAGAGAGCATAGAGCAACCAGATTTCGGAAGGACTTCCTCGACCCTGTGCTTCTCAGCTGCTTGTTCTCAATCTCTTTCCCATTGCATCTTCCTCAATCATACTCTGCAACAGTACCCTTGCATGGTTTTCTCCCCAGGACTTAACCTTGCCTTCTTTCCTTGAGGGTTTCATCTCAGTTGACTTATCACTTCCTAACCAAACTTAAAAAAAAAAATTAAAAAATAAAAATCATTTAACCAATATAACATCTTCTATGAGATAGTGTTAACTCTGTGCACTGCATCCTCCTCTCCAGCAGCCTTGTCCAGTCAGACAGTGAAGTCTTTGGGGCAGAGATACTACCTGCCACTCATGTCTGCACAGGATTAAGTACAACAGGCCTAACTGCTTGTCACAAGCGTACAAGTACAATCAGTAGTGCCAGAAAGTAAAGTATAGCTACACTATTGTTTCTGGGGTTTCCATCTTACTACTAGCGGATAGGCAGCGTGCAGATTTTGTGAATACTACTCCTGACACAGGGAACTTCTGATCCCCACAGATAAGACACTTCTTCCTGTTTAAAACACAAAATTCGTGTTACAAATGGGCTGGTAACTGAAGTACTTACCTCCCTTAAAGCAACAGAAATCTTAAATCACAGGAATATTTTTCTCCTCAGGAGAAGTTGCCAGAATTATCTGCAGCTATGACTGCCCTGAAAATCTCATCCCAGCTTGTATTTTGTTCAATTATTCAGATTTGTCTTAACCCCTTGGCCCCTTTAAGACTAAATACAATAATACTAATCTCTTCCCATGAAATCTAAGAAATATTATTTGTGGATATTCCACATGTACAATTTAATACAAGCTGGGCCTCAGTGGGCCATACAGTCAACTCTTCATTTTCTGCCCTACAGTGACATGGGTCAAGACACGTATTTTGTGTAAAAATCCATTTGGCCCTGACATCAAAACATTAGCAACTTTACAAAATGTATAGTGTTCAGTTGGTTCTCAACATTTAATATTCAGGATCTTAATATAAATCCTGCTTCTTACTGAGTGAAAAGCAGAAACCATAAACTATAGGAAAGGAAGTTATGCGGAAACTAAAACAGCAAACTGATGATAGATACCTTTCCTGCTCCCAACACGATCCAGAACATTTCATATTGCAAAGTCAAGTTTAACTTAGACTAATGCCAATTACAGACATGTATTTTCTTTGTAACCAACACATTCAATATTTCTATCATTACCTTCTCCTTTGTTGATAATAGCTCTTGCAAGTCTGTGGTCATGACCAGGGAAACTCTCATAAACTTCTCCTGTGAACTGCCCAATCACAGGGCCATTAACTGTCTCAGTCCTACTCACTCCCCCAAAGGAAGAAGTATAGGGTTGGTTTGTTTGTTCTATCCAAGACATACACAAGTTATCTTAAATAAAACCAGATTTTATTGATAAATTCAGAAGCAGGAAGAAATACCACAATAAAGTTAAATAAACACAAGCTTAGGCTAAGAAACATTTCTGGGGGCCTGTAGAGGAAAAAGCCTGTTGTAACCCAGCATTCAAAGAGCCTTTCTAGCATATTCTTTCTTAAGCCATTTTCTTTGGCTCAGTTTCCTCCTACTATCAAAACGTGCTACTGCAAGTTCATAAGTTTTATTAATTCCCCATAGAATTTAGTTATTTCATGTTTTAACACAGTCTAGACAGTCTGTCACAACCTTTGAAATCTCTTATGAATTCACAGCACACAATGCAAGAAACAGCATACTACAACTGTAAAGCAACACTTACAAAATGGTTTGGATGCAAAATGGAATCACGAAGGAATGCCATTTA